CTTATTATAAGCTTTTGTTTCTAGCAGACCCAATTATTGTAACCAAGAAAGACCAAATCAGCTGTTTAAAGAAGTAAACCTACAGTGGCAGTTAGACGAGCGCTGTGGTCCTCATTAAGTCTCTCGCGCTGCCTGGCCCGCTGTAACTCCGCCTGGGTCTCGGCCATGGCTGCCTGCACTTCTCGCAATCGGTCGTCAGCCTGGCTCAATTCCGCCTTCATGGCTTTAATAGTCGACTCGTGCTGATCGCCGGCAACGTTCTCAACGAAGGGAGACGTAGTGCTCGCAGACGCGGTAGACGAGGGCTGACCACCTTCTTGGCTTTGGTACTTCTCCATCATGACCTGTAGATCCTCATTTTTGTTCCGAAGCATATCCAATTCAATCTTTAGATGACTAACACGTTCCTCCGACTAAAAAATATGCAGCCCATCGTAACCCGAAATGTTTAATCACCTTGTGCATGATACATTTCAACTCATCCGGTAGAGGCAATGGAGATTGCATGACAAAATTGACACGGTGAGAAGTCGTTTACAGTCAGGTGCAAAATTTTATTATTGACGAAACTATTGAAATGCCGTTTGCTTTCTTAAGACCCAATAAGTACTCAACTAAAACTAGGAGGATTTCAGAATTTCGGTCAGTTTGAATCACTTATGGAGATAAGTTGAGTCGCGGATAAAGGGATTTCAAATACTACAAAGTAACGCAGACTAGTCCTTTTTGGAATTGAGAACGGGACGATTAGAGAGCGTGCGTGGGCGATCGGCGGGGATCGGACTGAGAATGGTGGTATAGGTTAGTCGGCCGAATGTTAGCCCCCGACTAACAACGATTGACAATGAGTCACTGATAACTTTCTTAACTTTATCAAACAGTTTCGAACGATCAATGCGGCTTATTCCTCTACCCTGTATTTGCAGTCATTGTATTATCCTAGCCATAAATCCTGGAATCGAAACCCTAGGCGAACATATTGAATGAAATCTTAGTTTACCTGTGTTAAAGCAAGAGCTTCGATTTTTAAAAAAAAATAATATTCGCATCGAAAATGTCAAAAGTCAGTTGTTCCATCTTGAACTGACAAGAACTAGTCTACAATAACTAATGTGACCAGAGTTCAAATCCGAATCATGAATTTGACAATTTTAAAGTGGCTAGCAAAACCTGCGGTCGGTTAACTGTCGTGAACTTGGACCAAGTAGACCGGCAGTCTTTCACACATTGGTAAGTTCGATTTCGTAAACAAATGCCTACTAACAGGCATTTTTAACTCTTGCATAGCTGAAATTAGGCTATTTTTTACATTAATAAGGCTAATAAATCTTGAATCAAACTAAAATGATTCAAAGGAAAAGATTAAATGAGACCAACGGTCCAGGAGGAGTTTTAATGTCATGGAAGCTATAAAAATGGTCTTTTTTGCTCGATACCTACAGTGGATGACGCAACCACGTGTGGACAACGCAAGGCGATAGAAAACACTACGATCGCATTAATTCGCTACCATCAATGCCAAGTTTGAAGCTTAAGCCTCGCACAACCGCTGAGTATAAAGTGCACCGTGCAGAGAAAGGGTGGCTCTTCAAGGGTACCTGCTTCAGCTCAGAGTCTCGACTGATCAGATCGGCGCCAATACGATTGGCTTTCTCGTGAGCAGCCGTGGCGTCGTGCTGGGCGGCCAGGTAGCGCTGCTCCAGCGTCGAGATGCGCGCCTCCTGGTCCTCGCGTTGGGCTTCCGACTCCCGGAGGTCACGCTGCAGCCGAGTGACCTTTCAACAGCAACAGAAATGTCTAGATGCAATGGGACGCTGAGAAATCAAAGTAGCACATAAAAGGCAATAGCGAAGAATTAGGGACGCTAGAAGCCATTAATCACCCTAGTCTCTAAACACAAAACATGCCTGTCTGAAAATATTAATAAGAACGATTGTTAGCATTACGTGTAGTTCAGGGACTATATTAATTCACAAAATGGACAGTTTCCTTTAAATAATTCGTAAGGACATAATTTGTACAATCAGGTACGTTTTCAAAAAATAATTACCTATGCACCAGGTAATTAAATAATTAGATATGACACAATTGCTTTTTCCCACTAATATTACTTTACAATTGGGTCACCTGGTTAATATCTGAGCTCACGCTTAATCTCAAATGTCTTTAATTTTTAGAAAAAAACAATGAAAATCCAATCCTGGGCAGAAATCGCGTCAGCCTCAAAAGTTACACTAATATCTAAATGACGGCTATTTGAAAAGGGGCGTACTGTTTAACAATTTCACGTAAGGCCAAGACTATGCTGAAAGTGTAAACAAAGATATTCAAAATCTGCTTTATAGCGAGGCTTAGAAATTGGAGAGATGAAGTGATATGCGGTGGAATCAAAAGTGAATGATGCAGCAAAAAGAAACAACTGAGCAATCAAGGAGCATGCCAATCGATTAAAGAGCCAAAATTTTAGATTTGAAGAGAATTTGTGACAAATTTTTAACGTTGCGTTGCAGTAATTTTATTGGGGTCAACAAATGTATGAAGCTGAGGGAGCCTGGCAGTTGGACAGCGTAGCACACGACAAGAAAATAACTGACCAGGAAACTTCTAATTGATTGTAACAAACTACATCATTAAGGCAGTAATTTTACCTGGTCTTGCGCACGCCCGAGATCTTTCTGAAGAGTGGAGACATTTGACTCGAGATCTCGCGCCTTCTCCGTTACCTCAACAAGTTTGCGCTCGGTAGCCGCAGCACTGGCGGCGGCAGCAGCAGCGACGGCCGCGTAATTGGTCCCCTCGGGGTTTTCGGCGTCCCTCCCGCCGTCTCGTGCCCCTGCGGGTTCTCCTCCGTTGAGTGGGGGGCCACCAGGCGGCTGAGACTCGAGGGCACCGCCAGCCTCCTTCTTGCCATCCGCGTCTACCGCCGACACCCCGTTGCCTGAATGTGCACAAAACGTGTAACGATACCCCCACAGAGAAGTGGCCATGTGCAAGTGCAACGAAAATGAGGCCAATGGCGGAACCGAATCATATACTTTCACCAAAAAACCATACTGAACCCCTAAATTTTGGGTGGCTTTTTTTGTTGGAGTTGCAGGGGGATTGCACCGGTACTTCCTGCCAATGACAAACTATGAAATCATCTATGCTGCTAGACTACGATTAATGGGAAGCAGGCGATTTTGAAGCTTCGGGGCTAGGTCATAAATACAAACGCATCGAGAGTTCGGCTAGTGGCTGTCGCTACGACTCCAGTGTTTTAATGACTTCTTGTTTACTGATAGACAACCTCAGGTGACCCAAACACGAAAAAGAAAGTATTCTGATGGGACAGTGCAAAATGCAAAGCGTGAAGTTTATTATAATAATGACGTAATGCCACACGCACGTTGTCCCCTGTGGCAACAGAGTCATTACGAAATGGGAACCGAACGGATCGAATTACCTTTCATCTTGCGAGGAAACAAAGTGGTGTGACTGTAAAGATTGACAAATCTTGATGTCATGTTAGCACCCAAGACCAAGACACTATGTATAAGTGAATATCCTCGCAACAAATACCGCATCGGCACAAAGAAATACACCCTGTGAAGTAGAGGCCTGGCGTCAACTTGTCCTTAATAAACAGATTATTTACGCATAGTTCTGCTTGGGTTTATAACCGAAGATGATGGAAGCCTATGAAAAAGCGTACGAGAAAAAAACTGACAGAAGAGGGAATGTTTTATAAACTACATTGAATAGGAACAGCACGCGTCCTCCAATTATATTCACAAAATTCCTTAAAAAGGTTGCCTATTTGCTAGATGTCAGCCTGCTGAGTTCAGACAACAATCGCCTTCCGGTAAATTATGATGCTGAAGGCACGAATTTAATCACAATTCAAATTTATTGTGTCAGGATTTGTGCGTTCCCACAAAATCAAGGAAAACGTGGTTTATATAATTATTTTATCTACCATAAGGTGAAATGATAACAGCTGCGTAATATATTACTTGAATAATGTTGCAAGAAGCTATAGACAACTAGGGAAGGTTATTTGTGGTTGATTTATCAAAAAGTACAAAACACTTGCAAGTTAGTGATGGAAAATAGATCTGCTGGCAATATTGAAAACGGTAATATCACATATCATTCAACCGTTAATTGTCAAAGAGTAGTTGCCTCAAAGTTAACTAAATATATTCGCATCAGACTTAACAGCCAATCATCGCCATGAGACATCAATGCTGTGTTTGGCATCTCAGCTATTCGTATGTGATGAGAACCTAATTGACAATACAGGTCGATAATTGTCAATGGACTTAATCCTCTATAAGAGGGACCATATGAAACTATTAAAGTTTGTGGTTAACCTCAGGCAATCACTCATCTCTAAATCAAACAAACGAATTAGAAGGATTCTTCATTAAGGCCTACAGTTAGACGAATGTTTGTGTTTCAATTGGGCAGATAAATGACAAATGGTTTGCATGCGTTTTTATACTGAGCAATATTGAGCAATCTATCACTTGAGTAGCAACCACATATCACCGTGCACGTCGCAGGCCTAAAAACGGCAAACCAAAAAAGTACACACTGTATTACCTCAGGTTACTCACGCGCCGCCGATTCCACAAGCCACACACCTTTCTGGAGACAAACCACACAAGTCAAGTTTGACACAGGTTTTGTGCCAGCCCGCAATAATTTCACTGGCGCTCAAAACGTTGGTGCAGCAAATTCGACCCCGAAACCCTGCTTTTGGAGCCAGAAGGACAATGACCTTGGCCAGCAGCGGTATTTACAAAGGGGCTGTGAAAGCCCAACATGATCAAGGCCATTAAAGAAACTAAAATGCGTCTGAGCGCTCGTTGGAGGAGTAAAGACGTAAATATTGCTACGGATTTGAAAATACGACTTAGAGATAATGAAGAAAAGGACAAGAGTGCAGGTGAAAAACTGTAAGAAGTTATCCCATTTGCATTTCTTGAGACCACGTAAAGTGAAAATGAATCCGGATTTGCTAACGGTAAGGCAAAACAACTCGGAAATTACCGTTGGTCGAAAAGAGCATTTGAGAATAGGCAATTTTTGAGAGGTTAAAAAGAAAAAAATACATATAATCAGTTAAAATACGAAACCACACACTGAATTTTTTTATATGTTCACTGTGCCCAAAGCAATTAGACCAAAGCACACAGAATGCAAGACTAAACTGAAATACACGCCGTCGGGTCGTCGAGCTCATCGCTTGTGCGACTTTAGCAAGCCAAGGCTTTGGAACACTGATGACAAAAACGTGTGCCTTATATCACCTAGGGATTATTAGGAAATCAGCTAGACTTCCTGTCTGCTGCAAACAAAGGTGAATTATCGTCTAAGCAGTGGCTTAGTAAATTCAGTTAAAATTTTGAAAGCATATAAATTCTATTCTCAGATCGAATTTTATAAATGACATTATGAATATTGTAAAGGGGAACGGTTAAATTCTTTTGCGGAAAGCTGAATTTTTGTGATTTCAGAAAAGAGACTTAAAACGGAGATTCCCACTAATGAAGAGGGAAAATATGTGATTAAACCCCGCACACATACTGCACATTCAATTGGAGTAATGGCTTTGACAAGATGAGCTAGTAAGAAATCTTGCGACTGACGAAGCCGAGTTACACGCCATGCTCAAGATAAACAAACGCCATAGCCACTACAGGACAAAGTGCAATAATGTTAAACAGTTTACTGAAAGAACCAGTCGCAAATTAAAACTGGAAGCATAAATTAATAATTACGGGCTATTTGATTGGGGAAAATATTACAAAACGGTTCACAGAGATCAAACTAGCAATACTAGAGCACACACTATGTAAATTTAGATTTGCATACCACTACTAGCAGCAATGTTGGCTAGAGTTGCTGCCAGTTGTTCCCTTAGGGAAGCACGATCCGTAGCTGATAGGCGGACCTCCTCCTCAAGCTGAGCAGCTCGTTCAAGAGCAGCACGAAGCCTCTCTCTGAGCCGTGTGTCCATAGCCTTGTGGTGTTCGAAGAGCGATTTGAGGGCCTTTAAAACTTCGACCTCGGAACTAACGCCTCCAGGGCTTGACATCTGCCGCTTTACAACAGTCATTCGTAAAGAACGCTCGTGCCGGGCAACAAGACACTCTAGATGCTCCAGCAATAGCTAAGGTAATGAAAAGGCAATTAAATTCTATGAATTACTAGTCAACTTAACTCTCAAATTACAATAATAAACCAACGTGTTGGGTTGCAGTCAGAAGGAAGCAGAAATCTCAGATTGATACTTCACACCAATATTTTACAGACAAACGCTTGTGTACCCTTAACTTTATAAGAAGTTACGCAAACGATGCGCAAGAATACCAAAATTTCGTCAAGGTGATCTGAAAATCAAAGATTCAAACACTTTTCAAATGGCTTAAAGGGTCAAATGTAAAGTAAATGTAAAATAACATAATGAACACCGATAAAAATTATGTAACAACACGCGTTTAATTTAGAAAATTTGTTTTGGCTGTAAAGTGAAATTACAAAACAAGTCAGAGCTCTAAGACTAGTCCCTAACGAAACACACAAATAAAAACCTTAATTAAAAACTAACAGAAGTGTTGATGACCGCAGTGGTTTAATGTGTGTGAATAAAACCACCAATAACAATGTTTTTGTGAAATATGTATGGAACTGGCGGTGACCGAATCATCCCAAAATCATCCTGCAGACATAGCCAAGCAAGCGGTTTTAAATACAAAATAAACTTGCACTATAAAATCTACTTTTTGGACATTTGAACAGTAATAATAATGACTTTGAGTGGTGAATCACTAACATTATCTGCGTTTTTGACTTACCCTAGTGTTACTGCGTTCTGCCTTCAATTCTTGAATCTCATCTTCACGTTCCATTAATTGATCTCGATAATACTGCACATCCTTGGCTAACACAGCAATGTCCTGAAGCATAGACAGTAGACTTGTGTTTAACTTTTTTCAGCAAATCAAAGCAATCTTATTCATGAAGGGCTACACTGACATACATGCATAGAAAATTGAATTAAGGTAAAGAATAATATTTTGAACAAAACGCATTCGATTTTACATCATACAGCCTTTTTAATCGATTACTTGAAAATTTGGGCAATAAATCTAAGTCAAAATCCAAGATGACTACCCACAATACATATAAAAGCATGGGATTTCATTGAACGATACCTTACCTATGAATTCAAGTTAAAATTTGCGACTAAACTCTAAAAAATGATTCCAAGAGCATCACCTATACTTCAAGTAAACATTGTGGTATCATAACCCAATATATATGGTGGGAGAAGTCTAAACCTATAAACTCTTAACATTGCATAAAAACGGTCTTTTACAAACATGCTCCAAAAGACAATCAAGTAACACAAAGATAAGACCACAAAAGATATCTAAAAAAGACTTTTATCAGTACGTGGAATGTGAATATGGCAGATCACGAAATGAGAGGCTAATAGGCTAACAAACCTCGGGAATTTTCTCCCGAAGTTGTCGAGAAAGGCAATCTTTTTCTCTTTCGAGTTCGCACAGTCTGCTTTGCGAGTAGTTAAGCTGTTCCTGGGCTTCTTGAAAGTTTTCCATCAATCGATCACGTTCATCCAGGATGCTGAGGAGCATATCTTCAACTGTATTCCCTTCTCCGCTAACTTGCGAATCCCGATCACCCTGACTTGAATTGCCATCTTCAGCAATCGTAGGCATTATATCACACATCTTGTAGGATTTTTACAAAATTATGGTGAATTGGAATTGGGAAAAGTAGTTGATGGTAAATTTACACGAACTCCAACATCAACTTGAAAACGTCACAGTCAAAAAGCAGACTTAATGGAGATCTATTCATACACATGTCATAAATGTTAGCTTGTTAAAGTGAGAAGAGAAACTAAGTGCATGAATCCGCAAAGGACACAAATCGAGGGAAACTCATAAAAACGGGAAACAGGACATCATCTATTAAAATCTACACTAGGAGATTAAAACAACAAAAAATTTATAAAAGAATAATAAAGTTATTTTTCCTGAAAAACACACATTATTTTCTGGCAAAAATGCATGTAAAATCTTAATGCATTATTCCCCACTTTTAGAAAAAAAATATTTAAATGTCTCATATTCTGCAAATAAAGCATTTTTTAAAATTCGAATTTTCACCAACGCCTTCCGCAAAAACTCTTATAAAAAATAAAATGTATGCAAAGATAGTAGTTTTACACGGATTAGTAGTTAAGTGAATTGACGCACTGAGTTCCATAACATACGAGAAAACGTTCAGACGATCTACACAATTCTTATATTCATTCAACAATCAGAATATAATATATACACCTTATCGTGAATACCGCTTTACTGTCATATTATCGCTTCTGGCAATTTATTTAATGGTCAAATACGTCACAAATATGTTATTCGAAGACTTAAATCATTAGCAAAATGTCGAAGGCTATGAAACTTAAGGTCTGCCGTAAGAATTCAATTAAGTTTTTTAATTATCCCCCATCCCATGATACTTGGATTGTTAGTATATTTTTGTGAGAGCGTTTAAACTAAAAGGCCATTTTAACCTTATAGTAATGAAGACTAAGCTTGTTAATTTCTAAAAATTAATGAAATGACTAATTAATATCGTGAACCACGTAATCGTACTTTTTTTGCAAACCCCTTTTTAACGGTTAAGATACTAGGTGGTTAATTTTTATTCTGAGTAATACTGGCCGATTTATTGCGAATTAAAACATGCAAATAAATAGATGCTCCAAGCAAAGTAATTAAAAAGATAAAAAAGTCGAGATTGCAGCTACAAGTGATGTTCCATGGCCATCTGAAAAAGCATGAATACAATTTGTTTGAAGAAATTTACAATCGTTATATTTAATGCCTCGTCCTTTAATCTGCCCTTTTCAATGTGTACGCGTGTTCCCACACAAATCCCCGTATAATTTTTGCTTTAGTATGCAACTCCCACACAATTCAATGCGATTTTGAGAACTCTGAATTTTATTAGTAACTCGGACGTCATGACGAATTCCGCAAAGAAAATCTAATGCTCTGGACGTTTGTTTTAGCAGGTTAAATACCTTTGAGAAACTCGGATTCCTAAGCACCTACGTTTCTCGACGACAAGTCACTAAATTTATGATATTAACCTGATTTTATTATGTACGGGAACCTGATTCTGGGATTTTCCTCTAAGGAATAAAGTGCACTTTATTTAACCGGATTCAGCTAATCGATCGCATCGGCTCTGGACGCAGTATACGACTTCCCCTTTCCCAACGGTAATAATCTTCATCGCTTGTCTAACCGGCTGCTAATCGACCGTAGTCATTAAGGAGGGCAGACAACGAACTAGTACTTCTTTAAAGCACGTGAGCAGTTCGCGTGTCAAAATGTCGTGGCAAATGAGCCACTGCTTAAGCCTAAACTCATATTAACTGCAACCCACAACTTAATGAATTAAAGTTTATACTATCGCTAACCAGGTACTTCATCGAACCACACGGTAATTTTCAAATTTTATTCATTTAGTCCAACATTCTAAAATGCGTGACTAAATCCCCACAAATACACCTTTATTTCCACTGTCAAATATTTCGGGAAATCAGACACATAGTTACAGTTTAAACAGTAGAAAAGCTATTTCATAAATCACATTATGGTCATCACTGACAGGCCGAATATATAGCTAACAAAAATTTATTTTTTTGTGACAGTCACAACACAGCCACGAGTATGACCCTAAGGCACTCATTGTCTAATTTTGTGACCACAATGACAGCGACACTTTCGAACACAGTCGGTCTGTTAAATCCTAGACTGGGAGATTTAACAATAGCGACTGAAGGAAGGAATCGTTGCAGGGATTACCGGACTAAGAACACAGACTTTTTTATCCTAAGGGTTTGAGTACGCTAAGTTTAGTGTATATTGCATAAATACTGCTTAATTAAGCAGTTGGGACGGGAGCCTGAGATGCTGTACGAATAGAAGTTCACTCAATTCACAATTACTGTCGACATAAGATGTCCCTCCTTATCAGCCCTCATTAAAATTGTGGAACCAAAATGACACCGGTATTATCCAATGTTTACTTGCAAAACACAACAGTATTTTTGTGTGGCCATTGACTCACAAATTAAGTCCATTGGTTTCTTTCTTGTCGAAATGCGCCCAGTTTACTGCAAGGACTCTTTCAGCTATCGGGTAGCGATCAATTGTTATATTTGATAGGGAATATCCCGTAAATCGTCATGCTACAGAGAGAAATCTTGAAAGTGCCATCCTGATACGGCATTTAGCCAGAGCGTAGCAGTTAGGAGAAAGTGCACAGTAAAATAGTTGTACGCTTGAAGACATGCAGAATTGGAATAAAATTTAAGAAAATGGTGCACTGGTGCTGAGAACAATCAGAGAGCTTCGCACTCAAGTAATTGAGATTGACTGCTCTCACATAGCATCAGATAAAGTGAGCCCAATTTTTGCCGAAATGCCATTGAAATCACATATACACCAATAGAAAATGCGATCGCAACCACAAGCCACCAGAGATCAAGGCACCCAATTATCAAGTTTATATCGTTGGTGTAAAGGTTCGCCGCTAACACCCGCCAACTCAATAGCTTAGGATCTTGCGAAAGTAAGGCAATGATGTAATTACGCACAAAACAAGATTAGTATCTGTAGTACATATTCACCGACACCTAGGGCAAGATTGCAACCATTTTTAGCGGTAATGCTTTTAAATGATGAAACAGAGATCAACGAGACCTAAAACAGGAAACTGCTTAACGGAAACGCTAAGTAGCTACTAACAGCCTGTGGCTGCGAAAAGAAATCGAAATATTTACCCAATATATTTGAAAATATCGGACATACATATACATTTTCGAGGAAAAGAGGGGCATTGGATCACACAACTTGCGCAGCTACCTTTGGTTGATCTCCTGTTGCCGCTGATTTCTTTTTCTTACCCCCAGAAGACTTGATTGGCTGACCGAGAAGCTCCTTGACCTCAGAATCCTTTGTCTTGAATTCAGTTTTGTATAATGAAGAATCGAATGGCAGCCCAGTGATCTTCATAAGGCCATTAGGCATAAGAATAACAGTGAACCTAAACTGAGCAACAAACTCATTTTCCCTTTCGACAAGCACTGGCATTGGAGATATGACATTGTGCACGGAACACTCCGTGACTGCGTAACGCGCAGATTTTATGTCTTCAACCGACCTGATGTTGAAAGGACACTCTTGAAATTTGGTCGAAATTTCACTATAAAATCCTACGAAAATAATGATGTTAAGAAGAGGTACTTCTTGACGCGTTCATCTTTAGATAATAGAAATTTTTATTTTTCTTGAAGACCGTAGTCCTAGCCGGATGCTTCTTCGGCTTTCCACTCCCCGTTGAGATGATAATGTCCAATAACCATGCCTCGTACACCTCAAAAGTACATTTCTCGATGGATTTCTTGTGGCCCTCATCGGGGTTTAGAACTATGCTCTTATCGCCATCAAAGACCAGCTTTTTCATAAGATGGGACTCCACACCTTGCACAGGCTTGCAATTGAAATCAGCCACAGCCTTCGCGATCATGTCAGTAACTTTGAAGTTTTCATTCCCAGGTTTTACCAAGCGCTTAGCTACTTCGGCAGCCACATTCGCCGCCACTATAACATCCGCCTTGCGACCAGTAACTTTATTTTCCTAAGAAAATGAAAAAAATTGGAAGCGAAACGCCTACCACTGAGGCACCAATTACAAAAGTGTGCCCGATAACAGAAGAGAAGCCGTCAACATGGGCACCTAAGTCACTAACAAAGTAAATCTGAAAGCCGATCACATACATTTTCACCAAGTCATCATGATTTAATTCTTCCACAGCATTTTCCTCACCAGCTATCGGAGAATAATTGCAAATGATGTTGTTCACGCTAATCGTCGTTGGAAATGCAACACCTTGGCGCGGGTCAATCCAAAAAAAACACCTACCTTTTTTCATCTCTTTTTCCTTTTTGAAGAGCTTGCCAGTTTCTTCGACTATTCTTTTGTCGCCATACTCGCACAGTTCAATTATCTTTGCTCCAGGAACACATTTACTTACAAGTTCCTTCAAAACAGCTGTTACGACTTTAACTTAGAGAAAAAACTCACTGTGAGCAACTTCACCGGCAAGCTTGTACTTGTTAAGAACAGTCTCATCGGCGGCATTTGGCTCATCGTATGAATCGTAATCTGGCATTAGAATTACACACGAGAGGACGACCACAAAGTTACAATGCCGCCGCGTGAAACTTTGAAACGTGCACTCGTACAGTGATCAAATCATTTATTTAATAATGACAGTTAGTAAGCTGCTACTTCCCTAATTTATATTTTTTAGCGAAATCCAAACACAAGAAGCCTTATAATACACTGCTACGTCAATAATCAGTTCCTATGTTTAACAAGAGGTTAGTGCGGTTACGGTAAACCCAAGTTTCAGCGACGCCGATGTGCTTAGAAGGATTCGGGAAATTTGTTTACTCTTTTTTAGTAATGTAACTTGTTAAATTATAAATATTGCATTCATAAGGTAGAGTCATATTTCATTTTTTAGCATGTCTTAAAGTTATATTTGTTTCCACAGAATAATTGCTAGTTTATTTTAATCCAGCAGGTAGTTTTGAGTCTAATCCCAAAAAAACTTAAAAGTTTTTTGTTGAGCATCTAAAAATACAAAGGAAATTAATTTAAAGTCTGTAGGACAAATTTTACGCGCCAATTGGCAGTCCCCTTAGGTATTTACACCAGTATTTCCTCAGAAAAAAAATATCATCACTTGATTGGGTTGCCACACCAAATACTAGTTTCTCTGTCCACTACTTTCGATTATAAACAAGATATAGACCCTTTTATTTACCAATTCTACAGTTTCAATGTTTTGATAACATTTATCCTCATGTCCTTTCGACATGTAGCTGAAAGTACAATACCTAGATGAAAAAAGCCATGCCATGTTTTAAAATGGTATAGTTATAAAACAAAACCCTTAAGATGTGAATAGGCTAATTTTGTTTTTTTTATTTGAAATTATTTGTGCTGACTTGGCGAATTGTATCTGGTTTAGGTACAAACACCAGTGTATGCCTAATCTTTGGAGCCTACACCACTTCAGTGGATTGTCACTATTTTTTGATCAACATGAACAGCAGATTACCAGGGTTTCATTTCATGACCCTTGATTTGAATTTGATAGCAATGTGCAAATCTTTGTCAATCTTTCTGTACTATCCGGTCAAGATAGAAGTTACTTTTTGTCAAATTGATATATTTACTGTTACAAGGACAGTTCACACTACAGATTCAAAATTGTGACTAACCTCTAAGACAGTTATCTTGCATAGTTACTTTTCAAAGTTTACCAATAAAGCCAGTAGTTTTTGGTACAGCTTCGGTTCTAATGTTAGCCCTACATAATCAGGAGGACAAATGTCAACAATTTCCAACTGACTACCTTTATCCAGTTGTGAAGAATCGCCACAAGACATTCACTTACAACTAGGGCCTCTGGCTACGTCTCCAATTGATTTTAACCGGTTACAGCATTTTGAGTCTGATAATTGACTTAGATCCTCTTTCACTGTTTAGTGGCAACCGCTTTTTTAATGTAGACTAAAATATTAAATTTAATTTACGGGGTTGACGGAAGTTATCTTACTGGCTTTGATATCAGTCTAACCTACCTAACTAGCTATGAACAGAGTGGTCATCTAAATTTCTCCGAAATCTTTCAAAGTCAGGTTTCGAATTAGTGTGCCAACTTGGAATGATTCGCTCATTTAACAGAAACCATGAAGCTTCATTGCGTAGTGCACTTGAGGCATCTTGAGGCCCTATAGTAACTGATAGAACCTTGATATTGACTTAATTTCTGATCATTACACTAGTCGTCAGTAAAATCGCTTTTCACATTCGTAAATAACTTCAACATCGGAAAAGTCTTTGTGGGTCGAAAGCATCCAACGGAAATTAAACAAATGTGCACATTTAGGCCCTGAAAGAGATTATTGGGCAAAATAGGTGCAACAAGTTATTAAAGTTTCTGGAAAGACATTGTGTTGAAGGTCAGGACACGCATATGGACGGAAGCTTGCTTGGGATCTGGGACTCACCCTACATTCCAGTGGCCATTGTTCACGAATACTTTCTAAGCACAAGTGTGCAAACGGTTGTACCTATATCGCCGTGTTGATTTTTTTTATTTTAGGGTTCCTTGAGCATTAATGTACTTTACGGTGAAGACTCTGATGTAGGACTCATTGCACCAGGGCAGTTAAAGTATGATCGCTCTGCTCGCCTGATCCAGCACCAAGCACCCAGAGAATAATGAAAATACCGAAGGTAATAGACATAATTGCTTCTTGGACCTCCAAAATCCCGGTGTCAGCCTTGGCTAGTCATTCTTATACATAGGTCGTAAGGTTGAACAGCTGGGGTCTGTGCTATAATAGTGTTCACATTCATGGTTGGTAGTAGTCCAAGTATTGCCTAACACCGCCACACGTTGAGACAGTTCACAGCGGGGACCAGAGGTTGAATGCCAATACCGGGTCAAGTGGCTTAGCAGGGGATCTGGGGGAAACAAAGTGCCATGGTCGCCAGTAGGTTGTGAATTAAAAAGAATCATCACAAGTGGGGTAACAAAGTCGCTTCCTCATTGCTGCAACTCCGAGGAATGGTGAACCTACAAGATGGGTTCCAACAACGAAAAAGTCATCCGTTTCGTTATGGGCGCTTCTTTTACTACTGTATTGAGTGTGCGCTGAAGATGTAAATCTTTGATGTTTTTCTAAGACCGGTGTGCGCACCACTTAGTGCATAAAATTGGCCCTAACTACGTCTCAATTTTGTGGTTAAGCTCTGGGCTAGCCTTAAGTTAAATGCAGCAGCCCAAAAGAAACCTTGCTATTTAGAGATTTGATTAAAACTGTAAAATGTAATTTGGTATAAAAAATTTTCTGATGTTGGTATTTGGCAAGACAAGATTTAGGAAATTTTCAAGACAATACCTACGAATTAATGTCTTACTATAAATATTTAGGTAGACTTTTAGTTTTGCCGATTTCAGGCTTGTCGGGTTCAATGACTGTTGCCACTTAGGTGGAGAAAAAATGGATTTCAAACTTCTAATAAGGCTCTCTTGTTAAAAAGTTTATTTGAATGATTGTGGATTTTGTAGGGTCGTGAAAAACCAATCTTTCTCTAGCAACAAAAAAAAATATTTCTAACTTGATCATGAATTAAAAGTGTTCGCCTTCAAATATTCATGCGGTAACTTCAAAAAATTCATTTGTATAGCCAATCATTTTGATGACCAAGTCCATTGATTACAAATCAGACAAATAGTAGTACAAACACTAAAAACTACATGGATATCAGTTTCAAGCACAAAACCAAGAATGACTCAGTTGCACATTAGAAGTCTAATTACAGAATAATTCTAACAAACCCAAGAATTTCGCTGAATGTTAGTTTTTTAAATTATCCGTTGCGTTTTCTAGAGTGACTAGTGTTCACTAATTTACCTTAACCCCTTTCCAAGAGACCATCACTCCGCCTCTTTTGTGAAAAAGCCCATGTGTATTCTTCGCCTCCCAACTTTTTCCTACTTTCGCACACCAAATCTATTGCAAAACTACACGGTTATTGCAAGCTCTTACCTGGAGTTGAATAACAATGGGGTGTTGTGCAGTTCAGATAAGACTTGGTCTTTGACTTGGCTTAAAATCAACGTGGGTTTCGTTCACAAGTGAAGTTGACTTGAGTCATTTTAGCGTTTGAAATTTCTGAATTCTAAAGTACACCGAATGATAAGTGGGTGTTATTTTGGCGCCCAAACTTTTCTGAGGATAGGGTTGGGTTACCTAGAATCCGTGAAACTATAATCGCATTACGGTGTCAAGTGTAAATAGTACGACTGTCAGGGTGTATCTTGTTAAAAAAATTTCAAATTTCCAAGAGTTATGAGAGATTGACCTTGCAGAAGTGTATGATATGCATCAATGACATGGAATATTATGAAGCGTTTTGCCTTTTGGCAATGGAAAGGTTATAAAGTGGCAATTAACTTTAATGGTTAATGTGATATCGAAGCGTGACTTGTTCATGCCGTGATTGGTTCCTTCTGAAGTGAGCCTGGCCCTGCCTAAGCAGTTTGCGCCGATTGTGAATACTTGACATGTGTCCACCCCATTGGGCTGTCTTAAAAGCGAGTTTTGCCTATTTTTTTTTAAATTTGCTGTTTTTTTAATATGTGGCTGATTCTTCACAATGTAACAAATCAGATACGGATGCTTACAAACATTATCAGGCTATGCAGATGGTTTTGGGACAAACTTTGTTACAAGCATGTTTAACGTTTTGAAATCTAAAACACTGTTGATAGGTCTTTACTGTCTTTAACAAAATGATTTTTGTTGTTCCACGATATAGACATATGATCTTCCAAGTCTGGATTCATTACGTGAATTGAGGATATAAAACAAAATTGTGGGTTGCCCTAGCTTCACTTGGTTGTGAAGTTAGTCAAAGGTGGTGTTTGTATTTGTTTGCAGTTTACGATGAATCTGAGTTGGGAAAGCGAAAAGTAAGGATAGATCCAAAATCTCTAGTAAAATATTTTCTAGCTGTTATCTTAGTGCAGACCCTCACAATATACTTCCAAGGTTGATGTTGGTGATATTTGTAACGTTTAGGTTACACTATTCACGTCGACGTTCTAGTGTAATTCGACTGGGAACACTCGATTCTACCAACCCACAAGCACGTTCACTTCACAGCGAACTAGTGAAGTCTAACATGACATCCATGGTTCGTGCATTTTCAAAACCCTGGCGCTAGTAGACAGAAACCTTTGCGAATGACAAGGAAACGCGTTATTATTCGTTCGAATGACGGGGGAGGAATTTGCCTTCACAAGCATTTTTTGCCTGCTGAATCACTTTCCCTTACGCATTGGTGCACGCTCGTTCACACACACACGCTAGCGCGCACACTTGCCCTGCCGGAATTTATGACTGTGCGCTGCGCTCCGCTCCCCGTCAGCAGCGATCGAAACCCTCACCTTAAAACAGACCCACTAATTTTTCAAATGTTCTAATTCCTGGTTTGAAGGTCATAGACAGGAGGATGACTAAGGAACAGGCAGTTTCTGCATTCCACATATCAACAGGCGCATCGTAGGTGCACTATTTTTCAATT